ATTAGAACACAAAAATTAGTTTTTTAATTAAAATTTTAAGATAGAACTAAATTTTTTAAAGTTTATTGTTTTTGTTACACAAAGGAGTGATCTGCATATTACACCTAATCTTAAATTTTAATTGGTTACAATACCTAGCATCATAGTACCATAGCATTATAAAATAAAACCTATAATTTAATATATATTTATAAATATACTATATTTATAAAATATAAAAATTTATACCTTGAATTGCTAAAAAATCTCTTGTCATTTTAGCTAAATGTGGAAAGTTAGTTTTATGATTCTATAAATTTAAAATTAATATTTTTAATAATAATAATAATAATAATAATAATAATAATAATAATAATAATATAGTAATAATATAATTAAATAATAATACTTACTTTCTACTATTCTAAGATATCAATATTATTATCATCATTAGTATCAGCAGTAGATTCTCTTAAATAAGTAGCTAATTCATCTGAAGGATCAACTTTTTTGCGTTTTTTAAAAATAGTAGCTAATATTTTATTTTGAGGTTTATTTTGTTGAACTTTATTTGTATTTTGAGAAGGTTGGGATTGATATTTAGATTTCTATAAATCTTTTATTTGGGTTTGGTATATTTGAATATATTCTCCAAAATCATTTTCTTGATAATAAGCTAGTTTAAGTCTAGGATCCAAAACTAATTAATTAAAATATAAATTAATATTAAATATAAAATATAAATTAATTTAAATATAAATTGTAAATATACTTGTTCCAATAATATAAGCCAATCATTTTGTTGATGAATAATATTTTTCAAGTTTATCTATACCAAATTGAGCTGTATTTTTAATAGTTAAAATTGTACTTTTTTCTACAATAAAATTTTCTAATATATCAAGTAAAGTATTATAAGCTGGAACTATAAAGCCAATTGTTGAATAAGTACTTCTACTAATATAAGTAGTTGCATCTTCAAAGTACTAAATTTAAATATAGTATAATATAATAAATTATATTTAATATATTAATTTCAAATTATAGTATTATATTTATTTTTTAAATACCTCCATTAAATTTTTAAATTCTTCAAGTAAATTCCAATCATCTTCATTTAATTTATATTTTTTTATTTCTTTTTCAATAGTTGTTATAATATTAATTGGCTAAAAAATATTTAGTATTAATAATATATTAATAATATACTGTATATTAAATATTGTATATAATATAAAATATTTATTTCTTTTAGTTTAAGTGCTCTTTTTACTATATAATAAGTAGAATTCTATCTAGTTTTAATATCTACAATTAATTCAAGTTTACTTGAATTATAGTTCATAAACTTTTCTTTTCTTTGTGGTGTTGATCGAGCATAAGTGATTATTTTGCAAAGCTATAATATTTTATTAAAATATATTAATAAATTTTATTTAAATATTAATAATAAATAATAATTTATTTACCTGTTCTATTGCAGTCATTGAATTAATTTTTTTTTTTTTTTTAATATATCTTCATCTTGATTTGAACCTTCAGCTTTAAGTTTTTTTAAAATATCTTGAGCATCAAGATTAATAACATGCCCAAGATATTTAACTCTATAATTTTTTTCATCAAATATTATTTATTTTCTAAACATAATTTAGTAAAATATTCAAACATTGTGTTATTATTAGAAGCATTATCAGTTGTAATTGCTAAAACCTATATAATATAATAAATAAATTTTATTAATAAATTAAAAAAATTAAAATCACTATTAAAAATAAAATAAACCTTATTTAAAATTTTATAATTTGCTAATATTTTAAATAAAATATTAGCTATATTTTCACCTGAATAGATGCCTTCTAATTTAACAAATTTAATTGTAATTTGATTCATTTTTTAATTTTTGTCTAACCAATGAGCAGTAATTCCTAAAAATAAATCTTGAATTGGAGAAGTCCATATATCAAGAGTTAAAGAAATTTTACAAGATAAATTCTAAAAAAATTAATTAAATTAGTTATTTAATAATAAAATAAATTAAAATTAAAAATTAAAAATTAAAATATACTTGTAATTTATTTTTGATTTCTTTTTGTTCACTTTCAAATTTTGACATAGTTCTATTTTTAATAGTATCAGCTGAAAATACTTTTGCTCCATTATTAAGATAATCTACTATATCTTTAAATTCGTATTCTTCAACAATTATAAAAGGATAATCATAACAATCCATCTAACTATTTTATTAGTAAATTTTTCTTGTTTATAATTCTATAAAAATAATATATTAATATTAAAAAATTATTAAATAAAATACAATAATTTAATATTAAATATTTAAAATTTTACATTTTGATATTTTTTAACTTCCAATTTTGTAAAATTAATTTGGTAAATATTTCTAAGATATTTTCTTAAAGTACCAGTTGAATAATCACTTGGTTTTTTATATTTTTTTCTAAATTTAAAAAAATTAGTTTTAAATTTTATTAAAATAATTTAAATTTAAATATATACTGTAATATAAAACTTACGAGCAAAATTTGCACTTAAATTGTTTTGTTTTTCTATTATATCTATCCCTTAAACCGTATTTTAGGCAAATTTGTCTGGAAAATTTAATTGTATTTAGTATTTTTTAAATAAAATAATAATTTATTAATAATATGGGGTATATATTTATTATA